TCAATATTTAAAATTTTATTAAAAAATTTTAAAATTTAAAAAAGTTTGTAGGCAAATTTGGCTGCAAAACAATTTAAGGGATAAGAACTAGAGGTTGGATCTATGAATATTCACGGTTAAAAATAGATATTTATTGAATATTCAATATTAGATTACACAAAATTCATAGATAGTTGAGGGTTTGTAATTGATAATTTATTCATGAATATTTGTGTGAATATTTGTTGTAAATACTCATGGTTACAATAATAGATAGGTATTTGTTCAAAATCCGGATATTCATTCAATGCTATTCGTAAATATCAAAACCCGTGAATATTTATTGAATAGCCATGATAAATATTCAAAGGATCCAACCTCTAATAAGAACACTATTATTATTTTACTGTTTTCAAAAAATTTTAATAGTGAACAGTAAAAAAAAATTTATACTATGCACAAATTTATAATAGAGTTTTTATGAGAATTCTAAAAGCACTAATTTCGAACACTAATGTTGTTAGGTGAATTGATAAAGCATATGTTATACAAATAACCTATCTCTAGTCGGGAGATTCTAGAGTAGATGGTGTTAAGGTACTGGCAAGTCTTTATTGGCATGACAACACAACTTTCGTGTACCGAAAAACACTTTCTCAGGTCTATTAATTAACACCACTCACTACTCGTATCTGCTTAACCAAATTAGCTTCTATAAATATAAGCTTTAAGGTACTTGATTACCTTTCCATTAAATGTCTGATATATATATATTATACTCATTATAATCTCTGCCTTGCCATTTTCGTTTTTAATCGACATGAATTCATTTCTCTATGAATTTCTCACTAATATAGAAAAATTATAGAGGCAGTACTCCAGTATGAATATATAGAAAATGGACTAAGCAAACCAGTCTTAGACACTTTTTGATCGATTTTTAAGATTTTTAAATTTTTATTTATACACTGCAATTTTATCTGATGTCAAATTATGGTAGTTTGCAAAACGGTATGACCTCTGCAGATCAAGATGCTATGTAAAATTGTGAGAAATCAGCTGATTCTCCAATTCTTGAAGAATTTTAAAATTTTTCGCTATCATCATTATGAAATCACAGGGTTATACCTTTTTACAAACCGTTATAATAAAAATAATAAGATATTATAATTTGAAGAAATCAGTTCTTCAAAGATATTGTAGTAAAAATTAATAATTATAAAATTAATTAATTAATATTTTTGTAAAAATTAATTCTACGTATAATATATATATAGTATAATAATTTACTTAAAATAGCAAATGATATAAAAATAATAGTGATTAGGGTGAGAATAACCTGAACCGAAATATGTAAAAATATATATAAAGTATTAAAATAGATTGTAGTTCTGATTATACGTTCTTTAATTAGATATTGTATAAATTGTAAGTTCATACGTACAATGTTTAAATTTTAGATTCATTCAAAAGTTTGATATGGGTAGTTATTTTTGGACCAGGACCAATTTTATATATTACATAATAACGTTTTGGTCTGGATTCGAAAATAATTAGCCATATAGTTTGAGTTACTATTCAATTGGTACTAAATCCAAAACTACTGGGTTTGTATCAATAAATGATAAAATAATCTTGTTAGACTTAGAATTCACTTGATTTTAATTACACTTAAGTTGGAATGAAATTTTAAATCTACTCAAATCATTAAAGAATTTTGAACTAAATTAATTCTGAATCTATTTAGCACACTTCAATTTTTAAACAAAGTGAATTCAATTTAAATGGCTATGTGGGCTTTTTAATACAAGGCACCCCATAAATTGCAAAGTTATTTGTACATTATTTAGTCACATATTATACTATATATTCTGTTAATGAGACATATTAGTAAATTTTACTTAATTTTAATACTTTAAAAAAATATATATATATATTTTTTTTAAAAAAATTATATTTAGCGAATCTTGTAAATTTTATACAGAAATCATAAAAGTTCCATGATGTTGATTAGTAAATTATCATGAAGTTTGATAAATAAACTTTCAATTTTTTAATAAAATTTACAGTATAGAACAGTCTAGCTAAAATTTGACCCAAATTTCAATAAAGTTTAAATTTTAGTTACCAAATTATATATTATCAATTAATGCTAAACCCGAAAAAAAATTTTTGGTTCTCTCTATTATAACTCGTATAGACATTTATATACTATGATGTATTCTAATCTGAGGATATAAATAGTCAAATTTTTTAGTTCTTGAGGTTTTTCATAAATTAATCGCAATAATTACAATTTTATTTACTTTTATATAAAACGTTTTATTAATTTGATTTGATTTGATTTGATTTGATAATAATTAATTTAATTTTAAATCCAATCGAGTCTGTTTAGAATCCGTTGCAACCCATTTTATCAATGTGCTATGATTTGGTTTAAAAAGGGAGTTCGTTTAAATGCCATTATCGAATTCCTTAACATAAAAAATTCGATTTCGTATATCATTGTATCCCAATTTGGTCATTAAAAAAGGTATTAAAGGGAGTTCATTTGGATGCAAATAATTTGTCATTATTGAATTCCTAAGATTTTTTAAGATACTCATTAAAGAGAACAACAGAGAAGTAAGAAATATTTTGATAGTTGGTCGCAGTGGTAGTGAAAAGTCAAGCTTGGCTAATAATTTGTTTAACGAAGAAAGTGACTTTATGCAAGTATTTAAAAAAAATGGAGGGAGTGTTAGTGAAACAAGAAAATCTCAAAGTGAAATTTTTGAATAGGAGAATATAAGATACTGTTTGGCTGATACTATTGGACTAGGAGACACTAAATTAACCGATAAAGAAGTCCTTTACAGTATAGCAAAAACAATTGGTTTGATGAAGGAAGGAATAAGCCATCTCTTATTTATTATTAGTGATAGATTTAACCAAGAGGAAAGAGAAAATTTCAGATTAATTAAAAAAGTCATGTTTGAAAGTAATATTGGCCCTTATACTACTATTGTCCGAACGAACTTTGGAGAATTTAATGATGAAACTGTATGCGATTCTGATAGACAAGACTTAATTAAAGAGAGTAAAGAGATTAAAGACACAATTGAAGTGTGCAATAGATTTATTCATATTAATAATATACCTTTAAAAATTGATAAAACAATTATTGACAAGGATGAAAAAAATATGAGGATATGTATCATGCAAAAAGACAGGCAAAGATTAAAAAAAAAGCTACTAGATCATTGAAGAATAATTACAAAGAAAATTTTAAACTAAAATCTTGGGACAAAATATACATTAGAATTAATGAATATATCTCCAAATCAATTATGAAAGATAACCAATATGATACTATTTTTAATGATGTGGCAATGCTCATTCGTACGGAGTTACCATCGATGATCTTAATTAAAAAAACTGTTCACGTAGAACCGTCTGAGAAATCTGAATCTTCGGGATAGTGGTATCAAATACTTTAGTCAAAAGAGTTTTTTTATTAAAGGTTTCGAACAAAATAGTGGCCTTTCATTAAAGTGCATTGTATTGAATTATGAGACATAGAAACTATCCTCAATTTTAATATGATTTTCTTTTTGAATTATGTTGTTATGTATAGAAATTAATTGTGAAATTGTTGCAAAAATTACAAAAGATCATATAAATTTAGTGTTTCAGTTGTTTTTAATAGAGCATTGAATTTGTATTTTGTATATCATGTGGAAAAGAAAAAAATTAGTTAAACTAGTACTGTATATTTTTTAAATATATACTGTATTTTTAAAATGTTAACATTTTTCACTACACATAATATGTATATATATAATAGTATTTACATACTGTATATATACTTTCTAAAAACATCGTTATTACTATTATTATTAGTGACTTTATTGATGCTGGCTTATATTAGTTTCTGTATTATCATTATTATATACCAGTGTTGGCATTTGGTATATGCCATCTAATTTTAGTATTGGACTAGACATTGGACATACAGTATACTTGGACATAGTCTAGGTCCAATATGTCCAATTACTTATAACTTCTCTAAACCGAACGTGCTTATGCAATAGATATTGTTCGTACTGTATATACAGTACGGGACACCTAAAGGCTTCACAAACTTTAAAAGCTAATAATATTTAATATAAAAACAATATCACAAAAAATAGGCCCCTAT